TTAACATTATATCAGTTAATGAAATTACGGTATTTAACTGTAAATTTAAGTTAAAACCGTAAAACCTAAAACGTTAGCGTTAGGGTCAGCTGCCAGTTTTTTACCATACATTTTATGGACTTTTTTTTACAGTGTACAGTTAATTTTTGTGTTGGCGCTCATGTCTGCTCAGATATTTTGAGTGTGCTGAAGGTTGTGTACTTGTGCCCAATCATTTCAAGGATGAAACACTGTTGTTTGCAAAACTAAAATCAATTCCTCTGTCCATGGGATGGTGTAAGATCTTTCAAGTATGTTTTGTTGAGTGTAAATCTCAGATTGTTCACTTTGGTGTATCTACAGTGAGGCCAGACAACAAATAATTGATCTATTTTCTCATTTATTTAACGTGTGGTGCACATCTGAGACCCCTGATCTCGTGAATGTTCCTGTGGTTTTAAGGAAAAGGTATGAGCCAAAAAGTACATTCTCATATATTTTAATATCCATGCTGAATTACTTTTCTTACGGACCTGTATAGTAATTAATAAAACATTGGTCACGGAGGGATCCATTGCATCATTTCAACAGGACAGTATATTTACAGATGCACTTGTTTTTCACATGATGTGATCACTGAATGTTTAGCTCAAGCAAACAGTGACAAAAAATTGCCAGAGAGAAAGAAACTCAATTACAAGACTTATGAACCGGCACAATTTAAAGACGCTTAAGTATCTGCAGATTAATTTATGTTTTAATATAAAAGAACACAGAAAGCTTTAATAAACTGATGTTAAATATATTTCACCCATGACACAAAAATGGTTCCATATAAAAAAACTGTCACTAAAATCTTGTTCAGTTTGCTATCAGCCAGTGTGTTTATCTTGGATCGGGGACACATGAAATAAAACTTTGTAGTACACCAGTGCCTGATCCTCTCTTTTACTGGTTTGTTTAGGGGGAGGTTCGTCCAGAAGGAGACCTTTAAATGTGTGGGCCAGACAACTTGCCCTCATTTCTTTATTTCTGATCTAGAGCAGGCCAAGGGACAGAGCTTGAGGTTTGTGCAAATCATGTCAGTTTTGCTTTTTTTATTTTACTTATGTGTGTACGGGATCAAATGAATGTAAAACGAACTAGTGAAACATCCAATGAATTGATTGTGTAGTATTTTAGTCTGAGGAGCTGGTTGTTTTTGTTTGCAGCTGTTGCGGTGGGTGAAGGTCATCAGGCTCTCTGGGCTCTGTGGTTGTCTGCTTTTCCAGCTCTGCTGGGGACTTCGCCGCTGTTTTCGGAGAAGGAAAGCACTGACTCCAGGATCTGTAAGCCTGCTCCACAGTGGGAGATCGAAGGTGAGATTCCAATGAAGCACCTTGTAGGAAGCGTAGCCATTGTGGCTCTTCTTAAAGCGAGCTGACATTTCTGTCTCAAGCAGGCTACCAAGTGAGAGATCTTGCTGTGTAATTTACAGGGTCATTCTTTAAAGTGATGTCTATAGTTAGAGAATTTTATTTTTGCTGTAAATTTTCTACAAACAAGGAAAGAAACTACAAGGTGCTATTAGAAAGAGACCTAGTACTGATATTTGTTCACAATTTTAAATTTGTTTACTATACAAAATTTAACACTTAAAATTTGCTTACTATACAAAATTGTAACAGGGTTAACATTTTAGAATTTTTGCCAACTGACGAAAGTAATAACACACAGTACCGAAAAAGGATAAGGCCTTTTTTTTTTTATTAAATAATTTACATTTTTAAAAATATATACACATTTCAAAGCATATAAAAGACTTAAAATGTAAAATAATTAAAACATTTATGTATTTAAAGAATAAAGAAAAAATAATTGCCTTTTTCCGTTTATATACAGATTTTAGTATTTAGTAATCATACAAATTAAAGTATATAAACATTATCAAATTAATTAGAATATATCTGTCACGATGCACACACACGAGGGACGAGGAGACGCTGGAGAATATGTTGACAGGACTTTATTTGCATGAACCAAGGGAGACGAACACAGGAAGATGTTCACAGCGGACAGAGAACTTGGGACTGGGAACACTTTTTATACACACACACAGGAGGAGGGGATGACGAGACACACCTGGGAGCAATGAACCATCATGGGGAACACCTGGGACAAATTAAACATGGGAAAGGAACACCTGGGGAGCAAGACACAGACAAAACATGGAACAGAGTCTGACAATATCATAAGTATAACAATATTTATGAGGGACACAAATGACAGCCATTTTGTGGAATGACCCTCCTCGTTTAAAGTAACTGTTTTTATTTCTAGTATAATTTCAGTGTTTTTGCTCTTTCCATTTGTAAACAATTGAAATACAAAAATCTTGGCTGCTCAGTCAGTTAAATCTGCTTGTGTTCTCTTCCTTTTGTTTCGGAAGGTTGGGAGACCTGCGTGACAAGCTGGCCCTTGGCAAGCTGACTAACATATCATTCCTGGTTGTCAACGAGCAGGATGCTCAGTCCAGAGCCATGTACTGGGAGCTGAAGAGGAGGACGGCAGAGGGCATCCCTGTGTATCAACAGAGCCCACTGCAAAACGACGTCTGGGACATCTTGGAGGGAGACAAGGATGATTTCTTAGTTTATGACAGGTATGAGTAAAACACACTTCTAAATCCATTCAGTAATATGACCAGTCTGACTAGCTTTCCTTTAGGGTCACGTGACTCTTTTGTAGGTTCTCCAGAAACATTTTTCTCAAGCATTGTTTTCTGTGTTCAATGTCATGGTCATTCTTTAGTATTTCCTTTCTGCACAGATGTGGATATCTCACCTTCCACATTGCCCTGCCCTTCAGTTTCCTTCACTTCCCTTATATAGAAGCTGCCATCAGGTCTACATACCACAAAAATATATGCAACTGCTCAGTGAGTGAAAATATTCAACAATATGAAGCTTCAGAAAGTACAGCATTTATGAAATGTTTGCAAAATGTTCATTTATTGAAACTCTTCCAGTTAAATGCAAACTTCTCCATATCAGAAGGCTTTGAAAACAACAAAAATGATACAAATGAGCCTACCGAAGAGAGCAAGACTAGCAATACAGAGCCTGTAACTGTTGAGCATCATCACCGTCAACATGAGGATCATCATCATCATCACCAACATGTGCATTCAGATTCAGATGTGCAGATGATTCAGATGTGACCTCCGTACCAAAGGGGCCAATCCAGCATTCACATCAAGAACATAGTCATTAAAACAGTTAGTTTTGTTTGTTTGCTTTTTTTTTTTGTTTAAAAATATACGCTTTTTTTTTATCAACGGAGCTGCTCTTAAGTCAGACCTTATATTGACCTTAAAGGGGGAATTCAGTTGGTTTTCATTGCTCTTAATGAAGTGTGCACTTTAAACCTGACTCAGGGGTCTGCATACTGATGTTGAGCAGAAGAGTCGTTCACACTAGACTTCTGTTTTCCTCCTTCCTTTTAGGGAATATCTGAGTGTGCTGAACTAAAGAGTTTGCTTTGTGTATTATTTGTTAACTGCCCTGTATTTATATGATGTGTTAAGGAAATGTTCATGACCCAGAGTGGTAATATATACAAAGAGCTTTAAAAAAAATAAATCTACATATACAGTGGTGTGAAAAAGCGTTGGCCCCCTTCCTGATTTCTTATTTTTTTGCATGTTTGTCACACTTTAATGTTTCAGATCATCAAACTAATTTAAATATTAGTCAAAGATAACACAAGTGAACACAACATGCAGTTTTTAAATGAAGGTTTTTATTATTAAGGGAAAACAAAATCCAAAACTACATGGCCCTGTGTGAAAAAGTGTTTGCACAAACATGCAAAAAAATAAGAAATCAGGTAGGGGGCCAACATTTTTTCACACCACTGTATCTATCATATACAGCATCTACCATGTGTAATTGGTCCTGTCAAAACCTTCATATTATACTGCGCTGTTGAATTTAGAAATTGTTTGGTAAATTAGTACTGGATTACATGGTTGCATTTATGGTCATTCGGGTTGGTCCAAGACGATCTACAAGATGGGGCTGGGACTGACCTGGTGTGCTGGTTAGGGCTGGTAGACCACCTTGGACCAATAACAAACCAGCTACATGTTCCTTTAACTGACATGATGTATTTAGAAAATTTAACAAAGCTTGTATCACTTTACAGAGGAGACAATACAGCCTATAATTAGTGCATTAAATTGAGAGTAAAGCTTTAATAAATACAATTCTAACTCATAATTCAGCTTATAAGTGAAGTCATTTCAGCAGTGTTGGGAAGGTTACTTTGGAAATGTAATAGGTTACAGATTACAAGTTACCCTATTTAAAATGTAATAGTAGTGTAACTATTTCAATTACTTTATTAAAGTAATGTAACTGATTACATTTGAATACTTTTTGATTACTTTTCTAATTTTTTAACAAATTTTTCAAATGTTATTTTCATTTTCAAACACTTAAAGCAGTCACGGTTAACTTTACAGTAGGACTCAACACTAGTTAGTATCAGACTTTCAAAATCATTCTTCACTTGAATTAAGATAATAATTATCTCATTTAAAGCACAGCCACCACAAAATCAGACTTTAGCAGCTATGTTTACTTTGAGATAATTCTGCAGTTAAATACAGATTTATGATCATAAGATATAGTTTAATACTAGCTTTTTGAAATCAACATATTTGCTTAGCCATGACAAGTAACACTGGCATCTAGCAATGCTTTGGGGGAAAAAAACGGTTAATCTTTATAAAAAAAAAAAAAAGCATATAAATAAACCCAAACAGGAAATAATACGTTATTGGAGTTTAATACTAGCTTTTTGAAATCAACATATTTGCTTAGCCATGACAAGTAACACTGGCATCTAGCAATGCTTTGGGGGAAAAAAACGGTTAATCTTTATAAAAAAAAAAAAAAGCATATACATAAACCCAAACAGGAAATAATACCGTTATTGAATAAGCATCTGTCCTATTCTGTGTCCTAAACTCCTGAAACATTTAGTGTTTCATATTTTAGAGCAGTCGATGCAATTTGGGAAAGAAATAAATCAAATCTGTATGTGTGTGAAAATATTCAGATGCAACCCCCTTTGTAATCTTTAACATTTTCATAAGTAACTGTAATTTAATTACACATTTTTTCTTAGTAACTGTAACAGATTACAGTTACATTTATTTTGTAATTAAATTACGTAATTCCGTTACATGTAACTAGTTACTCCCCAACACTGCATTTCAGGTTACTTTATAAAACTAGTTAAAACCAGTATTAATTTCGTAGCCTATTAATTACGCTTAACTGATAGTGAACGACTTTTAAATGGCTAATACAGTACAACGCTCAAAATAGCTGATGGTAAAGAATAAAGTTATCCAGGGGATTTTGGTAATCCGTTTTGGGGAGGATGCCATGTGTGAACTCCTGAACTCCTCATTGAGCCACTGATGCATGCTGAACGAGAGCTCTGTGTCGTAATTCCATTTATAACATCATGTTTTCTCTCTCTTGGATCTGAAATAGCGATCATAATTGACATTTTTACACAGTTACTCCTGTAGTTACACCCTTCAACGAACTCTCGCGCTGTTCCTAAATGTAACCGATGGGTGGCGCTGTTTGGGCATTACTGAATGAATAGCAAGCGCAATGGTAAGGCATCTACGCTTAATAGCCTATACAATTTCACAGATATTTATTGAGTGACTAACATACTTTAGGGCTTGGTTTAGTTTGTTTGTTTGTTTCTTATTTTCTTTTTACAATATGTCCATAACAAACACCTGATTCATCTCTTTCATTATTAATCGCTCAGGTGTCTGTATCCCCGTCGACATGGCAAAGGCTCCAGATATGTTACCAATGGGTCCTAGAAAACGGGGGTATTTTTCAAGCAATTGCATGTCTGATGTAGCCTACTACTTTAAATCTGCTCTTTATAATTTTTATAGGCCTACGATATAAAAAACTACAACAGAAAACGCAAGTTGTAGACTACAATAGGCTAGTTCTTTTTATTTACACTGATGCGGATAGGCTACGTACGTTTGACTAATTGGTCCTGACGAAACCAATAGACTGTGAAAATACTTTTATAAACAACTTTAACCACAGGCTATAATGCGGTTTAAGGAGCTAATGAAGCAATTCGTTCATTCTCACAGACAAGAGGACAGATGGATGGCTTTTGGTTTATTCTCCGCTGCCTGTCTGTGAAATCTTCCTGTGTTACCTTGTCATCGTCTGGCTTGGCCCCAAACTCATGACTTGCAGAGAACCAGTCAACATCAAAGCTCTTCTTATTATTTACTATTTTTCCATGGTGTGCCTTTCTGCTTATATGTTTTATGAGGTATGATAGCTAAAATATTAAATACTTATGTCCCATTCATCCATTCATTCATTCATTCATGTTTTGCTTATAGTTCACAGCATCATCTTGGTTGGCAAATTACAGTTTGGTGTGTCAGCCTGTGAACTACTCTGAAACCCCCTTGGCAATGAGGGTAAGCTAATTATTTTTATATAAATTATTTACATTTTCCCACACACAAGTTAATATTTCTGCAACAGTAGATTAAGAATTATAATTATTGCTTTTATTAATTTTGTGCCATTTTAATGCCATGCAGATGGCCAGAGTGTGCTGGTGGTTTTACTTCTCCAAAGTTATTGAACTTACTGATACAGTAAGTGAATTATCCAGTTCTTTGATATCAGCATTGTTTATGAATGTCTTATGATGTTTTATTACATTAATTAGTAAATGTCATTATCATCAGATGTTCTTCATTCTGAGAAGAAGAACAATCAACTGACCTTTTTGCATGTGTATCATCACGGCACCATGATTTTCAACTGGTGGGCAGGGGTCAAGTATGTTGCAGGAGGGCAGTGTAAGTGTTCTTTCCTTGGAGTAAAACAGATTATTGTATTTACATTCAACAGTCCACTTAGCAGAATATAACAATCTGCTACTATCAATCAAGACAAGGCTATGTCGAGTTTTTGAATAGAGGTGAAGTTGACTGTTTAAAGGAATAGTTCACACAAGGAAAATGTACTCACCCTCAGGTCATCCAAGATGTTGATGAGTTTGTTTCTTAATCAGAACAGATTTTGAGAAATTTAACATTACATCAACAATGGATCCTCTGCAGTGAATGGGTGCCATCAGAGTCAAAGTCCAAACAGCTGATAAAAACATCACAACAGTTCACAAGCAATTCACACAACTCCAGTCAATTAATAAACGTCTTGTGATGCAAAAAGCTGCATGTTTGTAATAAACAAATTCATTATTAATCCGTCATAATTTTTGTCCTCTCATATCAAAATCCACCTTTAGAACTGTTTTGGACTGTTTTCATTTGTATATGTTACTTGATCTATGCATGATTCTCAATATTATGGATAGAGGACTTGCATTTTAGCTGGAAGCAAGGATTTGAAGTTAAAAACGTTTCATAATGAATTTGTTTATTACAAACACGCAGCTTTTCATTCTGACGACACCCATTCACTGCAGAGGATCCATTGGTGAGCAAGTGATGTAATACTAAGTTTCTCAAAATCTGTTAAACTCATCAACATCTTGGAAGGTCTGAGGATGAGTAAATGTTAAGCAAATGTTCATTTTTGGATGAACTATTCCTTTAATCAGATTGTAAAATAAACTATTACGTTAAACTAATGTAGGTCCAAAAGTCTGAGACAACATTTAAAATATGGTAATAAACTACAAAAACTTCTATTGAAACTAAGATGCTGAATGGATTATGTCAAATCATGGGGGAGACGTTCATGTTAATTCTCACTCAAATGATCTTATAATTACAGTATAATTTGTAATTAAAAATTATTTTTTTATTACAAATTATATATATGTGTGTGTGTGTGTGTGTGTGTGTGTGTTTTGGACCCCACTGTATTAATGTAATTAACTAAGAATTCTTAGTTATTTACATACAGTTATTTATATAATTATTCAGCTCCTAAATGGGCATCTACATATTGGGGGTTGATTTAGTTGCAATAGCATTCTGACACCACTAGGTGATGTATTGCTTCGGAAATACACAATGAAAGTATTCTGAAATGCATGTGGTATTGTATTATGTTAGGCAGCTGATAACAATATCTCATGGATTTTGCTATTTTATCTGTTTCAGAGAGCCATATATTCTAAAGTGTCAACGCAGTGAATGATTTACTAAAGATGTTCTCTCTCCCTCAGCATTCCTTATTGGCCTCATAAACTCTTTTGTTCATGTGGTGATGTATATGTACTATGGCCTGGCAGCATTGGGCCCCCAAATGCATAAGTACTTGTGGTGGAAATGCTACCTCACTTCCCTTCAGCTGGTGAGACTCTTATTATGATTTTTTAAGGGAATAATAACTTAACATAAAGGATCAGTCACTTTTGTGTAACTGTCTTTCTTTGTCCCCCACAGCTCCAGTTCTTTATTGTGACCATTCACACTGCAGTCAACTTCTATGCTGACTGTGACTTCCCTGACTCCATGAATATGGTGGTGCTCAGCTATGCCTTCAGCCTGATCGCTTTGTTCAGTAACTTTTATTATCAGAGCTACATTTCCAAGAAGACCAAGATAGCATGATAGCA